GCACACTCCAACAAAATTCCACCCAAGAAGAAAAAGAGTAACACAAAAAAAAAATACACTTTATATGGGTGCAATGCCAATTTGTCGTACATGCCAGGCAACAAGAATTTGTTAAATGTCAAAGAGCATAAAAAATAAAGCTCAAACAAAATTCATATTTCTATGCACATGTAAAAAAAAAAAAAAAATAATATATAAAAAAATAACTGCCGCCAACAACAACTGAACTTACAAGTGTTATAGGTTTATGTCGTTGTTGTTGTTGTTGTTTTTCTTGTCCCCTCCGCCTATGACAGGTCTTTGACATCCAACTGTGATTTTTGGACAGCCCCAAAAGCTTTCCTTGTTGTTGTTGTCGTTGAAGTTGTTGCTGTGGCATATGTAAGTGTGTATGTTAATATGATTTTGGTGTCAAATGTTTTGTTGTTTCGTTTTTTCCCCCCCAATTTTTTTTATGGGCTGCACTTTGCCTGCGCTTTTATAGCGACCGCAGTTTGTACGTCAAGTGTTTGCCACGCTCTGTCTCTTTCTGTGCCCCACTCACTTCGCCTCGCTCGCTCTTCAGCCATGTCTTTGTCTGTGTCAATCGGCTTGATTTGCTTTTGATTGTGCGCACTTATGTCTTTATTGACAACGCCGTTTGGATATGTTAGATAAATAATTTATTTCATGCCAACATTGAGCAATTTGTAATTGAACAAACACACACACACACAAATATCCTATATACATATATATATATATATATATATATATGTATATTTATTCATAGTCGCGCATATGCATGAGAGTGCTTTTGAATATTTTCGATTTCCCATCAAGTGCAATTCAAGAGTCTTGTTAAACAAAAGCTAAGCGCAAACATGTTATCGATGGTCGCGCTGTCCGTAATTAATGCATCAATTTTTTAAATAGTTTTCGCAAATTAAACACCACATAACTCTAATTGCATTTTAATTAGATAAACAACACTGTAACCTATAAATAGAAATGGGGCCTTATCAATTAGTAACAGGAGATTGTTGTGTGCATTAAGCTCATGTTGATTTATGTAAATTTCTGTTGACTATTCATTAAAAAAAAAAAACATGAATTGTTGCATAAAACCTCTCAATAATAAAGTCTTTAATTTCATTAAAGTTCTTTCATTTTCGCAAGCACTTTCTGCGATTATTTCTGTATAAAAATAAATTCTTAATATTGAATTGAAGTTAATGAATATATTTTTACAAAATTAACAAATTAATTGTTTTTAAAAACCATCTTAATAGGTTCAGGACTTTTATGAAACACTTTCATTTCATTATAAAGAATCGTTTCAACATTTTAAATATTTTTCAGCAATTTCTTATAAAAATTCTTTACATTCTGTAAGCACTTTTCACTTTAACTCTTTTGAGTTCCTTTAAAATATTAATTTTTTAACTTAAATAGTTAATTATTAGAATTCCAAAAATGGTGCCTTAAGCTTGCATGTCCCTGACTTTTAAAGGATATTTCGCTGTTCACATTTTGTGTCAGATTTTCTCGTTTGTTCCTTTTTGCAAGCAGCATATAATAAATTATTTTCGGAAGAGCGAGCAAAACAATGTCATTTATTATGCTGCAAATTATTTGTCACTATTTTGTGCACTTGTTATTATATTTTCCGTTTTGTTTTTACTTTTTTTGGCCACATTTTTCTGTTTATCGGCCCGAAACGCGCGGCACACACATCTGAGATCTGGGCCCATAATTAATTTGGCCACAAAGACATTCACAGCCAACTACCGTGTGGCCTCCAAACAATGGCAAACAAATTGATTAATGACAGCGTATTAAACAATAATCGAGATAGGCCGCCGCCGTTTGGGCCCTTAACGGCTTGAAGCGGGGCGGGGTTACGTATGAAACAAAAAAATATGGTTCGCCCACGCGCAAATTTTTTTGCTTACCACACACAGAAAAGGTTTTATCAACGACCAAAAATTTGTTGTTATTGTTATTGTTATAGTTATTGTTGCTGTCCGCTCAAAACAATTCATTTAAATAATAGCCGGTCCACTTCCCAGGCCAAACTGGAGGAAGCACATCATTTTTCATATTCTTGTGCGACGGCGGCTCCAGCACGGAAATTAATAATGTGTAATTAATATTTGCTTAAACGGACTCGTAATACTATGTGCAGGCTTATAGAGGTATTTGTGCCACAGTGAAGCCTAGAAATGGCGACATAAGAAATCTAAAAATTCATTTGAAATCAGTTACTGTAAATATCAAAGAAATAAATTATGAAACTCTTTTGTAATTAAGAGCTAGAATCAACTATGCACAACTTCAAAGGGCGATAGAAAGTAAAATTCAATTGTAATTTTAAATTTAAATACATTTTTGAATTCTATATTCATCTGTAAATAAGATTAGGAATCAACTTTTTGCAACTTTTTTATGTGGCAAAATATGGAAAAATTAAAGTGTAATTAGGAATTTGAATGAAATGTATAAAATTTCAATAGTAAAGTCCAAGATCTCATATATACCCTTGAAGAGGATATTACGATTTTGTCAAGAATTGTGAAACGCATAGAAAGAGGAACAAACATTTTAAATTTTCTAATACTCTTTAAAACCTTTGCCACATTTTCCAATACGTACATTTGTTGTTATTAAAAAGGCATTCACTCATGCATACAAACGCACACTCCAACACATTCATACATTCCAGTCAGTGGCACTCGAACTGTAATTACAGCTACTTAGGTTTGGCAAGCACTTGAAAACTTCCCATTTGCAGCAAAGGATCTTTAATTTCTGCTTCAAAGCATATTCTAGGCAAAACTCTTGTTCCGCATGCATACGGATAATAAATATGTCGCAGACACTTGAGGCACATATAGTCCCCGGAGGCATACTTCATTTATGCAGGCGCACACACACACACACACACGCACACACTTGCACAACCCACCCAACGTGCAACCGAAAGCTACCCCCAAAGGCAAATTTTCAGCTCCCGTTGCCCATTCTCCATTCCCATTGTCGCTCCGAACATGCACTTCAACGTGCCACGGCTTGCACTCTCAATTATGACTTAATTCGTATCTAATGGATATTTTCTGTGAAAATTTCATGATTAATCGCTGCCTTGAGGGCTGCCCGCCAAAAGGATGTCATCGGGGGTTGCTAGCCTGCGAATGCGGCTGAAGCCAAAAGATTGTGACTCTGACTGCGACTGCGACTGCAGTTGTTCACACATGTTCACAAAGAGCAAAAAAAAAGTGTTGCCAACTGTGGTTTGGGGCAACACTCGAACAATGCCCAAAACGCCTGAACCGTCCGAACCACCCGCCCGTGCAATAACTCAGCTCCCAATTTTCAAGTTCTTTTTTCATTTTGAAAATTTGCGATTAATACTCCCCCGCACATGTTTTTCGGGCGGTTGGGGGTGGCAATTGTTGGGGTGTGTCGGCCCGACAACGACAACGACATCGACATCGTTATGCTTTAGGCAGCATATGCGTTAGTCTACGGCGACGTGTTGCAACTTCCGGCAGCCGTAGCGCAAAAAAAAAAACAAAAGAGAACACTTTTTGCCATGCACTTTCCAAGAATGTGACTTTGAGTCCCATTTCCCCTGGATTTTTCACACTTTTCAGTTCGGTTTGCCGGCTTTTTTTTGTAAACAGAAAAAATGTAGAAGAAGAAACAAGCGGCAGCCAAATTCAAAAGCAAACACAATAAAACCAACAACAACAACGACAAACTGCAATCGAAGGCGGCTTTTCTTATCTCTGGCACATCAGCGCCATCTATGTGCGTTTAGCTGAACTAGCACATGCGAGAGGCTTGGGAAAACTTGATGCGATTGCATTTTTATCTAACCGAGCGAGAGAGAGAATTTAAGCTAACTGAGGAGTCCGATTGAGTTGAATGCCGGCAAAACAGAGCAAACTCTCGCACTTTTTACTCTCTCTCCCGCTCTCTATCTCTCACTCTCCGTTTGCCGTGCTTGGGCTCTCTGTTTATCTTTGGCAATGCATTCCTCTTCTTTATAGTTTTGCCGCTGTTGTTGTTGTTGTTGTTGTTCCCATGACCGCTCCCAAAAAATCTGATTTGCATATTGTGTGCACTTCAAGCCGCACTGAATATCTATTGATATTTGCTGATAGAGCGATAAGAATTTATGTTCTATTAACTTATTAGACAACATAACGAGACTCTGTGCAGAAAGTGGCTCCAATTGGTAGATCTTATAAGAGAGTAGAATAGACTTTTGGCACTTAAAAATGAAATGAAAGTAATGTTTACTTATTTCTAGGGAAAACAATCACTAAAAAAGTATATTATTGGCCATAATGGTAATACTTATATAACCAGAAGTTTATTTATTTATGTAATTGTATTAATTTTTTGCAAAACCCAAGTGATCTTTCCACTATTAAAGCCTTCAAGAATGTGTTTAACTATGCCTTTATTTGTCTAGGCTATTCTGCAACTGCTTCCGAATGCTGTAGACTAATTTGTTTGCTTGACAGCTTCATGGAATCAGCGGGCACTTTGTCGCATACGTCGCTTTTGCACACCTGTGCCCACTACACCCATAGCGGGCCAATTGAGCACACACACACACACACACACACACTCCATTGACACCCACGAGTGTCGTAAAAATCAACAATAGAGCACAAAAAAAAAATCAAGCGAAAACAAATGTTCAATGCGAGTTTTTCAACGTTTAGCCAAGTTGCGAACCACATGTTTATCTGACTCAATGAGAGTCCAATTTGAATCCAATTTGAGTACGACACACGCTCTCTCTCACTCATTGCTTATCAGTGGCTCTCAGATACTTTTTGGCCTACCCAATTCGTTGGGTTAGTTTCGTGCGCGTCGGCTTTCGTGCGTTCGTGTTGCCGCACGACGCGAGAGAGCGAGAGAGAGAGAGAGGGAGGGTGAGCGTACGAGCGACCGAGATACTTTAGTTCATAAACAAGTTTCGTCGCGTGCGGTGCCCGCCTCGCTCTCAGATACTTTTTGCCAGTTGAGCCGAGTACGTGAACGTGTCCGGACGTTTTTATGGACAAGCGAATTGAGTACCCCCCAAAAACAGCAACCGAAACAGAAACCGAAACCGATACCGATACCGAAACCGAAACCTAATCCAAAACTCAAACTGAACCGTTAGCCAAAACTAATACAGCTGCCGATTTAGTTCGAGTGCCGCAGTCCAAGTGCTACGCAGTTTTTCGCGCGTGTCCAAATTTTCCGCACCACCCTCTGCCCAATGCACGGGCGGCCTGTTGTATCTGAGCGGTAACTCGTTTTCGGTTCGGCCTGTGTGCGAAAATTAATGAAATGTTTGCGTCGCGTTTATGAATGTAATTTTTTTGCCAATTGCCAATTGTCAAACGCGTATCTCACAGATACATTTGCCATCAATAGAAAACAACAAATCGAGCAAATTTTGCCTGTTTCTTTTGTTTGCCGAAATTCGCTTTTGTTTTGATTTTTGTGTGTCGCGCAACAATAAATTCACGCCAAGTGCTTTCCACGCACAATTTTCCAGCGTAAGTTTTAATTAAGTTCACTTTAAGCCTTATTAATGTCCAACATCTAAAGTTCTAGCTTGGCTTTTGTTTTGTTTTCATTTGTTTTTTCTTGCTGTCAGTGCACAGCTTGTGTGTAATTTATATCTTTAGCTAAAAGCTTGCAGCTCAGGAAATTGACTCAATGAAGTACTGACAGTTCTTGTTGTTGTTAGCTAGCGAGCAGGGCGATCGATAAGGTTTTATGAGTTTTTCGGTTTGTGAAAATTTGTAATCATTAATTATGTCGTACCCAAATTTTTAGATGGTGGAAAACAGGTTTTGCCTTTCGTTAGAAGATCTTAAAGCTTGTGCAATTCCGGGAACTTGTTAGGTGCTGTTGTCGTCCTCCTTGTGGCCGGTCGTGTTTGTTCTCGCACATAGATGTGAATCTCTCTTTTTCAATCTTCATGAATGAAGCTCGATCTGAGAGGTTCAGCTTCGGCTGGAGCTCTGACTGGGCGGCTGGGCGTCGACACAGAAATGTTTGTGTTTTAGGTCTTTATGTGGAAGTGCTTGACACTTCTGCGGAACAGTTACCATTCCCGGTTTGTTCTTGACTGATGGAAGCTGCTGATGTTTGCTGGGCGTGTTCACTGTACGTATGTGTGTGTGCGTGTGTGTCTTTGACTTAGAACAGTTGCTTAATGGCCTAAACGTGAGCTGACATAACGTTGGGTTTGGCTTGTGTTAGCTGAATGTTGTATAACATTTGAAGAACTCAATTACTATGCGTTAGCTGAGGTCTGGGAAATTCGCGTGAATTCTTTATAAGAATAAGAACAGCTTCAGAGATGAAAACCCAAGCAGAAAAGCTTTGATTACATGAACCAGTAAAACAAATGTAATTGTATCTAAAATTTAGGCTAAGCTCTAACTTTTATTAAATGCTGACAGTTAGTTATTGTATTTTGTTTGACATTTTGCCCCAAATTCCATTTAAAGCTCTTCCACTACAAAAGAGCTGCCACCAATTACATCATTTAACATTACACAACACTTGCAAAACTTCTAATGACAGCTTTTAACACTATATAACCCCCACAAACACACGCACACGCACTTTTGTAATCGCATTAACAAATTTGCGCACAGCAAGCAAAACATTCGCAGTTTTCTAATCATTCGGTTGCAACATATGAAAAATGTATGGAAAATTGAAAATTTATGTTTACTATAAACACACACAGAAAGGCACAAGAGATAAACAAACGCAGCTAATTACGTTCCTGTTGAATGGGCACATCATCAATATGATCAAAGAACATATCCAGATGATATTTATACACACATATATACATGTATATATATATATATATATATTTGGGCTTTACATTCTTTCCGCTTGCCACTTGAAAATGTTGCATAAGCAACAGTCAGCGGCAGCCACAAATTTTCCGGCATGTGCCACATGCTTTTTAACCTTGATTAAGTTGACGCTCTAATGATGCTGCTAATGCTGCTGCTTGACGATAATGATGCTAATGATGATGACGATGATGACGATGATGATGGGGGCACCCATAACATCATTAGCAGCTTCTCTCACAGTTCTTAGCAAGACTTTAACACCGGGACGTGAGTCTCGGGTATTTTTAATTGCCGCCTGGCACTTAGCTAATGTAATTTATATTACTCCTTATGCTCTAAAAGCTTTAAGTAGCCAAAAAGAAAACAACAACAAGAACGTCAGAAAACCAGCAGCAAAGTGCTGCAGCAGCAGCCAAGTTCTAAAAGATACCCGAAAATGTTGGGGAAAAAAAAAACTTTTGTTTATATTTACCTAACATTGTACTTGAAAGATATTTTCGTTACTTTTTGTGGCACTTCTCCCACTCCCCCAACTAACCGGCTCCACTCCACTCGGCTCTTCACAGCCTGTTTACGGCTCTTCGTGTTTGTTTATCTAATGGCTAAAAAATATTTAAGCTGTAAAATTGTAGCCGTGAGTTGGCTAAAAAAAAAAGTTGACTTGTGTTGAATTTTGTTTCTGGTATTTACACAAGTCATAAATACATTTTGAGAGCCAAGTAAAAAATTGAAAAGGTTTAGGACAGCCGGGAGCTCAAACTTGGACTTGCATCTGAGCTCGGCTTCTCGTCTCAGCTCGTCTCATCTTGTCTCGTCGTGGCGATAAAGTCGCACATAAAACGTAAATAATACACAATATTCCTCTTGCTATATTTGAAATTTATGTAAATTTTCTTGCTGCCGTCCGACGCTGTCGCCGCTCCAGCCTCCGCCCCACCCCCAGCTGGCAGCCTGTCTCCACAGACTTTCGGTTATCTTGAATGTTTTTCCTGTTGGTAATTAAAAAGTTTTTCCTTCTCTCATTTGCGTCTTGTCTGCTTAGATTAGCTAATGCAGGTTGAAATGTAAAAATTTGTAAATGTATGTGTCTGTGCGTGTAAAATGGCCTTGAAATTGGGCCATAAATCTTGTTAGTTTTGGGCGCACTGATAACATGGAGAACTCCAAATCTTGAGCAGAGCAGGGCTTTAAGTAGCGGCACCTTTGCGTGGCAGTAAGTGGCATTTTAATTTGGAAAGTTAGCTAGAGGCTTTAGCAGGTGCTGCGTGGGAAATTCCATTAATACAGTATAATATTATTTTTTCAGTTCAGATTTTCTTGAATTGAAATAATAGAAAAATTAATTATACATCTATATAATAATGTATATAGTAGAACAATTCATATTTATAATATATATTTATTTCATTTATGATAGAATTTTGTCAAATAATAATTTGTATAGCTCTCTTTCACTAACACCAAGCACAGGGCTTGGTTCATACTTGAGCTAGTCACATAATTTCTGACTTTTAATAACAATCAATAACAAACAATAAATAGATATATATAGATATATCCAATACGAAGGCATTCAGCTATTAACTCAGTGAGTCCGCTCAAAAGCCAAAACTAACCGTCTTTCAAATAAAACATAATTCGAGCTTTGCTTCAGCTGTTTTTTCTTACAGCTGGTTTGAAATTCCGCTTTAGAGCCGGCTTGCAGCCTTGGTATAGACAGCTCTACTTAGTAAATGGTAGCAAGTTTTTCCATATCATATTTCTGCCGTTTGCAGCTCACATAATTACTCAGTTCGGCACATGTTCATCCATTTCTGCGGCTTTTGCTAGACAGCCTGTGTTTAGCGTACATTTGCACATGCCCTCAATCCATATTTGGCAGCACTTCCAATGCTGTAGCTCACACATTCCAGAACCATATCATTTGGTCTATCAATTATGAATTCTGAAATGCCTGCGAGTGGCGCGACTTTCAGCTCGGACTTGGCTGCTAATCAGATGTAGCTGCAGCAGCGGCAGCAATTAATAAGTCCACACACATATTGACGGGGCCCCAAAGGCAGGCATGTTGAACAGCTTCGTATCGGGTTTAAGTTGACGACTTGACCTTGCCGCAGAACGCGGCACACAAAAGATCATTAGTTGGAGCGTCTAATAAAAACGTTTGATTGCCCATAATTATGGTTAAGTTAAAATGACAGAGGAGACGCCGCCGGGTCTCAAGTTGTTAGCCCTTGTGCCAAAATTAGTTTAAACGTCTTTGAGATGAAGGCAGGCGGAAAACTTGTTCGCAAACTTTCATGTAGCATGCATTTTATGGCTTAATTAAGCGGCAGATAGAAATGGAAAACGAGAGAGAGAGAGAGAGAGAGAGAGTCGGGAAGATAGAGTATGTGGAAAAGAGCGAGAATGTCGACTATATAATCGAGATAAAGTGAAATAAACAAGCTGAAGCTGACATACACACGCACACACTTACACAAGGCTATTTGTGTGCTGTGTACAACGCGTCGTATGCATAATATAATTAATAACCATAAATGTTAATTGCGCATACGCCACGTTAGTCAACTATTCGCTACGACCTGTACAAGTTTTACGCTTGCTTTATGCCCATCTCCGTTTGGTATTTGTTTCCCCACAATATTTTGCCAGCTGTGAGCTTGTCAATAAGTTTTACCCAGCCTATTAGTAGGCACGTGTCCTTCGTCCTGTCCTGCCACCCGCAATATATGTTTGTTTGCATTCGCCTAGGTGAAAAGTGTGCGTTATGAAAACATTTTCACGGGCTTCTACCAGTTGCCTAGTCGCACATCCTTTGCGTGTATGTGTGTGCTTTGTGCCGAAAGTTTTTGTCAGTTAATTAAGCAAATATTTTTTGTTTACCCAGTTAATTTGCTTTGTAGACCCAACAGCCATAACCCCCTATCCAGCCAACAACAAATATTGTTGACATGTGCGGGTGGCTTAGTTGTTGTTGTTTTCGAAATTAACTTGGCTTAATTTGGCGAGTGGCTTTGGGTGAAAAGTTTTGGCTAAGATAGTTTGGGCCATTTAATCGCAGTAGCTTAACTATTTAGTAGAAAGCCAAAAGCATTTAATTTAAACTCTTCATTTATGTTGCTTGCTAATTGCGTTATCATATGTAGCTGGAATATTTCAACAACAATGGAACTTTTCTGCTTAATCGTTCAAATATCTACGCTTCTCTTTAAAAGCACATCGAACTGCAGATATAATTATTTGGCATTTACTTCTAACAATATTCCCAATTTGAGACATTTTTCTGAGCTCAATAACTAGTTAAATAAAATCTATAAGCTGGCAGCCAATGCCAAAGATCTTTCTCATATTTTAAGAGTTTGTGGTCTGGCATTTGGAATTTGGTTTTGTTTTTGGTCATTTTGTGAAACTTGGCTGCTGATAAAGCAAATTTAACATTGTCACAAGTATCAATAAACCCATAAATTTTCAAACAGAGCACACACAACTTTACACAAATGTGCTCGAAAAGAAATAAACTATATAGAAAAGAAATGTTTGTTGTCAGCCCATATTTCCTCGCATTTAGTTTCATTTTCATTTCGGTTCATTGTTGTATTTTGTTTTATTTGGCTTGCTTTTATTTATGGAGCGTTTGTATTCCGGGGGCGTCAACTATGTGGCCACAG